ACTGCTACTGCTCACATACCTGCAGTCTTCTTCAGAGGATTGTGCTCAGATGATAGAATTGGCAGATCTATCTAGAGTTATGGTCCCTCATGACTGCCTGCCACAGTGGTGGCTCCGAGCCAAGAAACACTGTGGTCTAGAGTTTTCCTGGGTTAAGGCTGAAACTTGACCTGAAGCCACATCCTTGCTTAGCTTCTTTCTCTGCTTTAACCCACTGCCCACACTTCCTGATAGATCTCATTACCTGTAAGAAGCCTGTCTCAGGTGGGGTTGGTTCCCCAGAAGTAGAGCCCAAGAAAAAGTACTTATGTAGAAAACCACACTTCCCAGGAGGGCCCAGGGCTGTTCTCAAACCACCCAAGACCATTTTATCACTCAGACTCCAACCACAAAATGCTTCTTTTTGTGCTGTATATAAGAGGGTATATAGCCAGATACAAAGTTTTCTTTTTACCCTAAACAAGAATGCTATAAAGCAGAACAAACCCCCACCCCCAAACCAAACAACACAACAGACAAAAGAAATTATCAGTTTTAACAAGGCAGGCACTAAATGACCAAAGACTCCACTAAGGGAAGTGTAGAGTGTGGGCAGATGGAAGCCCAAGGACTTCTGGGAAACAGGCTGCTTCTAGAAGAGAATGATAATGACTATAGCACCAAGTGCTCCAGGAAGCCAGTGGGCTGTTTCTAGACACTTCTACTCCCACCTGCTCAGGGTTTTATTAAATAATTTAACAAAATGTAGGTTAATTGAATAGGACAAGAACAAACAGGTTTTCTGCAACAACTAAGCTGAATAAGACGGATGCTTTGGAAAGGCTACACAACAGCAAGTCAAAGAAGAAGGGAGGGGGATCTGCTTTTGGATTAGGTGTGAAAGAGATAGTGGTGAATATTGAAAGCAAATTGTAAAGCTCTGGAAGGAGTTGGATATCTTCATGACAATTCAAATGCAAAGTTCTCTGAATATTTTCTCATAACAAAAACTGGAAATATATTATACATATAAGTAGTATGAGAAAGAAAATGGGGGAAAAAAATCAAACAGTGACCCCATACTCAGAACCAGACCTAAATTTCTCCCTTCCCCAAAACATAGAAAATGGATCGGCCTGTGTTTTAAGTTAATAAAATTCAAAATATAAGTATTCTATTTTTTAACTACCAGGTCTCTCTATGTCAGATATAAGGATTTCAACTGAAGTAATGAGTCATGAAAGATCTGAAATGGTACACCGAATTCTCACCACAGAAAATGTGGGAAGAAGTTTCCGTAACACAGAGGGATTAGCAGTGTACGGAGGTCAAAGAACCTGGGCAAGGCTGAAATAGGGTGCTTCCTTTCTTGTGGTTTAGGTTTATCACCTAATCCTGACATCAGAATTCCATCCCATGTGGGTCAGGGTTGTTACATTTAAATATATCTTGAATGGTAAGTGATCTATCTGGTGTTCCTTGTTGAGAGCCATCCATGGGCTATCCTGGGGACTACATGGGCAATGCAGCCTAGCCTAGTGAGTAGGAGAATCTGGTGTCTGGGAACTTCCAGTGGAAATCTCCTCTGGCCAAGACCGCTCAGACACATGGTGAGCCCTATTCAGCTCTGCCTAGTCCCATACAACACCAGAGATGGGGTGGCCTGATATATAGCCACACAGCCTCTCTGAGATGCATGTGACCTGGCAAGATGCCAATCAACCTGCTGACTGTAAGCTATCACGCAAGACTCCACCCCCTGAAACCTTATCCCTGCCTTTGATGTGTACCCCCTTAAATAAACCTTGGGAGCTATTTTTTTTAATTGTCCAGCTCTAGCTTCTGTGTGGACTGGATCTATCAGGTGCTCTACTTTAAAACTATAATTCTGACTCTGTCTTTTGTTCTTCACTAATTATTTCTGACTTATTTTCTCTGGTAGCTTCACCCTCCTGGACAAAAAGAAGGACCCCCTGACAAGTCTCCAGCAGCCTCCCCCATAATTCCTCATTTCCCAGTATGAGATCATTCCAATTCAATCCCCGTATCAACTTTTGAACTCCAGAAGTAAAAAATTCCTTGTATCTGCTTATCAAGGTATTGGGGTAGGTAACTTAATATCAGAATCAAGGATTTGGTGGGAAGAATAGGTAAAAAAACAATATTCACAAGAATCACTCGTAATTACATATACCATTTACAGTTTTTTTTTTATTAAGTTTGATTTATAATGCATAGTTGTTTAGAAATTATTTGTGCCTATATACACCTGAATTAATCTTCTATCTTTAGAGTTTAAAGCTCTTCCTAATGCAAGTGGATGGTACATAAGAAAAACTGCTGTCCTAGCTTCGTGAGTCATTTCCAAAGTGCATTGGTTATCATTTTTTTTTTTTTATCAGTGATGTTTCTGTACAGTTTAGGGTCAATTCTGCCAAATAACTGGTTTATAAAGCTCCATTGCTTTAGCCCTGTGCTCTCCTCATAATTCATTCCCAAGTTAAAACTCTAACATCTTCTGACTCTAAGAAACAAGAGAAAATGAAATACCTCAAATTTATCCTGACCTTCTGGGAAATAAGACCGAGTTTTTCTTTGTGTGTTACCCGACACTGTCATCCAGCAAGCTGCACGTATTTTCTGCCATTAAAAACACACAATGTGAACATCACCTATTGGTCATAAACTGTACCCGGATGAGTCAGACAGACAGCCCTTAACCTCAAAGGGCTCAGTCTAGTACTAAAAGACAGGTGGATTATGTAAACAAATAAATCATCATACAGAGACACAGGCAGCAATCAGTGCTCCCACCAGGGTCTGTTTGAGAGCAGAGAAAACACTGGTGCACTGGGGCAGTAGGGGGCAGGGGGCGGGGGGTGTTATTAAAGCTTCTCAAAACATCAGTTTTGATGGACCAGGAGAAACTATTCCACAGGAAGAGTGGAGACAATTAGGGGAGGGTAGATACTCGAGCGGAACGATAAAGCAAAGATGCAGCAGCAAGACAGCAAAAATCCAGGCAGGCCATGCAGACAGGAAAGATATACAAGGGATAGATTATGGTCCTTGTTATAGCCACAGTAAACATAGAAAGCTAAGAAACAAGCAAAAAACAAATAGAAAGCTAAAATTAAGGCAAGTTTACGTTTAGAAATATCTCATTGAGGAGATTATAGTGGTTGAATATAAGAAGCCAGGCAGTAAGCATTAACAAAGATTTTTTTTTTTTTAAAACAGGAAACCATTCAAAAGCAAGCTTAATAGTGTGAAATGGATAAAATGTGAAAGGAAGATGTGGCAGATGCTGGTGCCATTTCGCTGTGTTCTTGCTAACAGAACTCCTTCTCTGCCCCACGCAGGATGGGACCAGACTAACCAAAAGGAGAACTGAGTATCCAGAAAAGGTACATGAGATGACCTTGATGAGTTGAGGCTGGAGAGGGAGTCCTCTACATTTAGGAAAGAAGGATCTGGGGAAGTGACTATTGCCAAGTAATTTTGGATCTGGGATGAGAAGGGGAAGCCATTCTGAACCTCCCAATTTTCTGGGGAATTCAAAGTCCACTGATTGGCTATGTTTATATGACTGTTGGATGTTGGACTCCGATGTCTATGTGTTCACCTTTTCTTACTTCTATCTCTGAGCCCAAGGGAAGAAGTTGTTGCCAGCCTCTTAAATGGTTTGGAATGGTTTTGTTCAAACAAACTACTGAAATAAAACCCAGGGTGGTGACGGTGGTGGTGGTGGCTACTATTTAGACAATGTTTTGGACAATCATATGAATGAGATCTATTAGGATTTCTGTGGAAACGTGTTTGCTTATAAGTGAAATAGGTGCAAGAACAGGACTTGATTGCAAACCACTTCTACTTTTTGAGCCTTGATTTGATGCCTGGAGCTGCAACAGCCATCTTACAGATGTGAGGAAATGAGTATGAAGGAAAAAAAGTCAACATAAAAAAAGAGCAGAAAGATGAAAGAATCTGGGTTTGTAATGACATAATTAAGTCCCTACTCCTACCTGTTCTAGTACCTCTATCATCAACTGTTAATTAAGTAGTACACTTTGAATTAGGTCTTCTGATGTCTCCAAAAAAAATTCCAAAGTAGCAAAATGAAAAGAAATTATGAAGAAAAATCGCCAAAGGAGAGTCTGGAACATACTAGGCTGTTTTTAATCCACATAAACAAATTACTATAAATTTTTCTCCTACCAAAAGTTCTGGGAAGAAGTCATGTTATCATGTTATCTTTTAAAGGTAAGAGATGTGCACTTGTATTTTAGGGGATTTTAAGAATAACGCTATAAAGTAGAAAAATAACTTCATAATATATAGCTCAGGCTTGAATATTTGTACAGAATGAATTTGACATCGCAAAACAATCACATGTGCTCCAATACCATAAATTTAGTGTTGAATTTATAAAATTAGTACTATAATAAGAACAATATAAAAGCTGTGACTTGGTGCATAGAGTATCAAATGCAGAGAACTTCAGCTTGATTTATTTGAACAAGCTGGTACGTTTGGTCCATTCATATAAACCAAGCAGCTCAGATGCACTAGGTAGCTCAAACCCTTCTCAGTTCTGTTTGTTTCCAAGTTTAGACATTCTATGGAGCTTTCCAGATGGAGGCAAGTCACTGGCAAATTCAGGCAGAGAGGAAGGAGGGAGAAAGGGAGGGGGAACAGGCAGAGAAAAAGAGTGACATATAGGAAAAGAGGAATTTTATAAGTGAGGCATCTTTTCCCATCCCTCCATATGTTCTGGCAGTGAGATCCAGGCCCAGCACGATTCACTTTTGAAGGATGATTCTGTTTCTCCTTGTACCGACTTTCAGTCACTATCAAAAAATCAGCTACCGCCTTGAGAAATATGCCTCCTGTCCTTCTCTATCAAGCCAATCTTCTGATGATTCCTCCTTATCTCAATTTTGTCACCTATCTTTCCCTGGACCTGAGCCCTTCTCTCAATACTTGCACCCACTCAGAGACTCTAATTCCTACAAACACACCGAGTAGTATTCCTTGACCCTGTTGGTCCTTCGACTTAGATCCCAGTTCCCAACTACCTTTACTTTCTGAGTCTTGTCTGGGTCCATATCTACTGCTACTCCTCACTACATACTGTTAAACATCTTGTGGGAAGAGCACCCTCCTGCTGACGGAATGTGGCAGAGATGCCACAGAGCACAGAACTCAGGATGGCCTTCATAAAGAGGGTGATGAGACACCCAGCATCTGTCATTTCCTCTCCCCCATCAAGATCAACCCTCAAACAAGAAGGACTTTGCATAGTAGAGAATGGGTTTGCTGGAGTCTCCCCAAAATCCTCATAAATGCCACAGACACTTGAAGTATTTGTTGCTGGAGAAACCTGCCACCCTCAGAGTCCCCGAGAAGAGTTTGGGGGGCTTGAAGGGAGCCCACATTGCTCGATGCCCTAGAGAAATAGGGAAAGCACATCATGGATTAAACTAACTCAAGAAGATGCTGCACAGTGCCTGTGAGACTCCATGTTATAGCTTTTATGCTGCTGTGACCAAAAGACCTGACAAGAACAATTAGCAAAGGAAAAGTTTATTTGGGGGCTCACAGTTTCATAGGTCTTAGTCCAGAGATAGCCAAACTGCATTCTGCAGGACCTGAGATGAGGCAGAACATCATGGGGAAGTGTGGAGGAGGAAAGCAAGGAACATGGAAGGAAAACAGAGGAAAGCAAGCATGTACCAGGAAGCAGAGAGACACCACTTAAAAAGGACAAACTATATGTCCCCCAGGCACGCCCTCAGTGACCTATCTCCTCCAGCCATATACCATGCTATCAGGGGATTAATATACTGATTGGGTTAACGCCCATAACCCAATCAATTCACCTCTAAATTTTGTCACATTGTTTCACATATAGACTTTTAGGGGAACAACTAATATCTAAACCACAATACCTCATCTATGTATGATCTTGGCAAAGCAGCTAAATGACCTCATCTACACCCCTAGACCCCCTCAAAGCAACAGGGTGACTCTGTCCAGTCACAGCCCCACACAGCAGCAAAGGAACCCTCCTTGGGCAATTTGGCTCATTCAGGCCTTACAAAGCAGCAGGTTGATCCACCCGAGTCACCTATGAAGGAAACACTGCAAACAATACCACAAAAGTAGTAAGCATCATTAGAGATTGCCGTAAACAAATGCACACCAACAAACTGGAAGCCCTGGAAGAAGTGAATGACTCTCTGAATACATAACCTACCAAACTGAGCCAAGACAACATACACATGAATAGACCAGTAACATTCAACAGCACTGAATCAGTCATTTAAAAATTCCCAAAAAGCAAAACCCATGACCAGATGGCTTTACTGCTAAATTTTACTAAACTTTTTAAAGAATAACACTAATTCTTCTCAAATGATTCCAAAACAGTTGGGAAGGAGGGAATTCTTCCAAACTCATTCATCTGGGCCAGTATTACCCTGATATCAAAACCACACAAGGACACAATGACAAAGAAAACTATAGCCCAATATCTCAGACAAACATAAATGCAAAATTCTCAACAAACTACTAACAAACTGAATCTCACAACAAGAATATATCATGATCAAGTGGGATTTAACCAAGGGATATAATTAAAGATTGTTCAATATATGCAAATCAATAAATGTCATATCACACCAACAGAATAAGGGACAAAAACTATGATCATCTCCACATGTGCAGAAGTACTCAATAAAATTGGACAGCCTGTCATAAAAATAACCTTCAACAAATGTAGAAGGAATATAACTTAATACAATGCAGGCTGTATCTGACAAACACAGCCAACATGACGAGTGGGAAAAATCCCCATTATCTAGGACAAGACAAGGATGTTCACTATCATACTTTTATTTAAGAGGGTACTGGAAGTCTTCACACAATAATTAGGAAAGAAATGAAGAGCATCCAAATAAGAAAGGAGGATCTCGAATCATTCCTGCTTGTAGATGACATGACTTTATATGATTTTTTTAATTGAGGAAAAGCCTAACAAATCCACTAAAAACTATCAAAAGTGATAAATAAATTCAGTAAACTTTCAGGACACAAAAATCAACATACAAAAATGTTTCAGCTTTCTGTCACTACAAAAAAAAAACACGAACACAACAACAACAAAACCACTACCCAAGAAGATCAACATAAAAAGACAAAAGTGTTATTTTGGCTCACAGTTTTAGGGATTTCAGTCCCTGATCCACTGGCTCTTTTGCTTGGGGCCTGTAGCAGCACCTCATGGTGGGAACAAAGCCAAGAGGCAAAAGAGAGGGAAAGCCATCAGGCCCTAGGATTGCCCTGAGAGGATGGTGTGATATGACATATCCTAAAAGCCTCCCACACTCACCTTTTAAAGATTCTTCTACCTCTCAGTAGAACAACTGGTTGGACTAAAGCTTTGATAGATTTTTGGTGGACATTTAAGATACAAACTATAGCAAAAATCCAGTAGCATTTTCATACAGCAATAATGAACTTACTGGTAGAGACATCAAGAAAGCACATTCGTTCACAATGGCTGCACTTAAGCACTGAATACATTTAACCAAAAAAGAAAATGATCTTTAAAAGAAAATGACAAAGTGCTAATGAAAGAAATTGAAGAGGATACAAAAAAAATGGAAAGACTATCTATTCATAGATTGAAAGAATAATATTAAATGTCCATATTATCCAAAGAACTTTCTTTACAGATTTGGTACAATACTTATCAAAATACCTATGACAATCTCCACAGAACTTGGAAAACAATTCTCAAATTCTTTTGGGACTACATGAGACCCCAAATAGCCCAAACCATCTTGAGCAAAAAGACAAAGCTAGAGGCATCAGAACACCTGAACTCAAAACATTACAAATCTACAGAACCAAAACAGCAATGCACTGCCAAACACTGACACACACAGTAGAACAGTAGAGAGAACCCAGAAATAAATCCATGCATCTGTAGCCAGATGATTTTTGTTTGGTTTTGTTATTGGGGATTAAACTCAGGAGCACTCAGCTACTGAGCCACATGCCCAGCCCTAATTTGCATTTTATTTAGAGACAGGGTCTCACTGAGTTGCTTAGCACCTTGCCATTGCTGAGGCTATACAGCCAATCGATTTTGACAAAGGAGGCCAAAACACTGGGGAAAGAACAGTCTCTTCAACAAATGATGCAGTGAGGAGCTGGATATCCACACGCAGAAGAATGAAACCAGACCCCTTCCTCTCACCACATCCAACAAAGTCGGCTCATAATGGATCAAAGGCCTACATGTAAGAACTGAAATTACGAGATGACTAAAAGAAAACACAGGGGAAACACTACAAGACATCAGTAAGGCAATGAATTTTTGGATAAGACTCTAAAAGCACTGGCAACAAAATCAAAAGAGACAAATGGGATTATAGCAAACCAAGAAGCTTCTGCAGAGTGAAGAAAACAATCAACAGAGGGATGAGAAAATCTGCAGAATGGGAAAAATGATTTTCAAACTATTTTTTTCAACAAGGAATCAATATCTATATAAAAGAACTCAAGAGAAAAAAAAACAATTTAAAAATGAGCAATGATCTGACCAGACGTTTCTCAGAAAAACATATACAAATGGCAAACAAGTCAATGAAAAAAAAAAATGCCCAATGCCACTAAGCATCAGGTAAATGCAAATCAAAACCACAATGAGATACCATGTGACCCCAGTTAGAATGGCTATTATTCAAATGACAAAAAAATTTAAAAAACTGGTAAGGAAGGAGAATTCTTATACATTATTGGCTTAAATGTAAATTAGTCTAGCCATTATGGAAAACAGTATATGGATTTCTCCAAAAAACTAATATGACCTAGCTATCACACTGTTGGATATATGTATATCCAAAGGAAATTAAATCAGTGTATCAAAGATACCTATGTTTATTGCAGCACTATTCACAATCACCAAAATGTTTATCAGTGGATGAATGGATAAAGAAACACACACACATACACACACATGCACAATATGATATTATTTAGCCATAAAAAAGAATAAATATGGGCTGGGGATGTGGCTCAAGCAGTAGCATGCTCGCCTGGCATGCGCGCGGCCTGGGTTCGATCCTCAGCACCACATACAAAGATGTTGTGTCCACCAAAAACTAATAAAAGTAAATATTAAAAATTCTCTCACCATCTCTCTCACTTGCTTAAAAAAAAAGAATAAATTATAATTGTGGTCATATTGATAGAACAGAGAACATAATGGTAAGTGAAATAAGCCAAGCACAGAAAGATGAATACCATATATTCTCACTCATATGCAAGATTAAAAAAAAAATTATTTCATTGAATTAAAAAGTAGACTCATGGTCACTAGAGGTGGAAAGGGTAGAAGAATAGACAGAATAAGGTTGGATAACAGGCATCAAAATACATTTAGAACTTTTTATCTAGCATACCATAGCCCAGGAGAGTTACTATGGTTTATAATAACAATGTTTTATGAAGTATCAGAAGAAGTATCTCAAAAGTTCCCAAAAGGAAAAAAAAAAAGTAAATATTTAAGAAGATGGAAACGTCAATTACCTAGATTTGATCATTATACATTGTATACATACATCGTGTACTCCATAAATATGTACCCTATGCATTAATTCTTAAAAAGGTATTGAATGTTTCCCCACAAAAATGCCTCATGTGCTTAATCCCTTCATCTTCTCCCAGTTTGCCCCTCTAGTTTTGCTTTTCTATGAAAGGAATTAAATCATGTAGCTTCCGAGTCTGGTTTCTAACCATTAGCTTATACATTTGAGGTCCATCAGTAGTCCATTCTTTTTTATCGAGAAGGAGGTTCCCATAGTTTGGACGTTCTGCAATTTGTTCATCTATTCACCAGTTGATATTTGGGCGGACTAATTTGTAGAGATTATGCATAAAGCTTATGTAAAATTCACATGTAGAGAAAAAAAATTAGATTCTTGTGGCCAGGACTTTACTTCCTGGTAACAACTGACAAGGCCAAAGATATTCTTAAACCACTTGGGAGATGTTCAGCCACTCCTCCCTAGCCTGGCAAGAAATGTGACCAAAAGAA